TGATGAAGAAATCTTTTGGGAAGCATTCAATGGGCAAATGATGAAGAAATCTTTGGAAGCATTCAATACGTAAATGATGAAAAGCTTTGGGAAGCATTCAATGGGGCAAATGATGAAGAAAGCTTTGAGGATGCATTCAATACGCAAATGATGAAGAAAGCGTTTGGGGCATTCATTACTATGGGCAAATGAAGAAAGCTTTTGGGAAGCATTCAATGGGCAAATGATGAAGAAAGCTTTTGGGAAGCATTCAATGGGCAAATGATGAAGAAAGCTTTTTGGGAAGCATTCAATGGGCAAATGATGAAATCATTGGGGAAACAAATGGGCAAATGATGAAAAGCTTTTGGGAAGCATTCAATGGGCAAATGATGAAGAAAGCTGGGGGAAGCTATCGAATGGGCAAATGATGAAGAAAAGCACAGGAAGTATCTAATGGGCAAATGTTGAAAAAATTTTGGGGAAGCATTCAATGGGCAAATGATGAAGAAATCTTGAGGGGGAAGCATTCAATACGTAAATGATGAAGATCTGGGGGAAGCATTCAATACGCAAATGATGAAGAAAACACGTGAAGCATTCAATGGGCAAAATGATGAAGAAAGCTTTTGGGGGAAGCATTCAATGGGCAAATGATGAAGAAAGCTTTGGGGAAGCATTCAATGGGCAAATGATGAAGAAAGCTTTTGGAAGCATTCAATGGGCAAATGATGAAGAAAACTTTTGGGAAGCATTCAATACGCAAAATGATGAAGAAAGCTTTTTAGGAAGCATTCAATGGGCAAATGATGAAGAAATTCTTGGGAAAGAAAGCATTCATTCGATAAGCAAATGATGAAGAAAGCTTTTGGGGGATACATTCAATGGGCAAATGATGAAGAAATCTTTTGGGGAGCATTCAATGGGCAAATGATGAAGAAAGCTTTGGGAAGCATTCAATGGGCAATGATGAAGAAATCTTTGGGGAAGCATTCAATGGGCAAATGATGAAGAAAATCTTTGAGGAAGCATTCAATGGCAAATGATGAAGAAATCTTTGGGAAGCATTCAATGGCAAATGATGAAGAAATCTTTTGGGAGCATTCAATGGGCAAATGATGAAGAAAGCTTTTAAAAGCATTCAATGGCAAATGATGAAGAAAAATCTTTGGGGAAGCATTCAATAAGTAATGATGAAGAAAGCTTTGGGAAGCATTCAATGAGGCAAAATGATGAAGAAATCTTTGGGGAAGTATCTAATGGGCAAATGATGAAGAAATCTTTGGGAAGCATTCAACACGTGAATGATGAAAGAAAGCTTTTTGGGGAAGCTATTCAATGGCCAAATGATGAAGAAAATCTTTTGGGAAGCATTCAATGGGCAAATGATGAAGAAAGCGTTGGGGGAGCATTCAATGGGCAAATGATGAAAAGCTTTTGGGAAGCATTGATGAAAGAAACTTTGGGAAGCATTCAATGGGAAAAGCTTTTGATGAAATTGACTTGGGAAGCATTCAATGGGCAAATGATGAAGAAAGCTTTGGGGAAGCATTCAATGGGCAATGATGGCTTTTGGGAAGCATCTAATGGGCAAATGATGAAGAAAGCTTTTGGGAAGCATTCAATGGGCAAATGATGAAGAAAGCTTTTGGGGAGCATTCGATAAGTAAATGATGAAGAAATCTTTTGGAAGCATTCAATGGGCAAATGATGAAGAAATCTTTGGGGAAGCATTCAATGGGCAAATGATGAAGAAAAATCTTTGGGAAGCATTCGATACGTAAATGATGAAGAAAGCTTTGGGAAGCATTCAATGGGCAAATGATGAAGAAATTCGGGGAAGCATTATGGGCAAATGATGAAGAAAGCGTAAGCATTGATAGCGAAAGCTGGGAAGTAGAGCATTCAATGGGCAAATGATGAAGAAAGCTTTGGGAAGCATTCAATGGCAAATGATGAAGAAAGCTTTTGGGAAGCATTCAATGGGCAAATGATGAAGAAAGCTTTTGGGGAGCATTCAATGATACGCATTCAATGGGCAAATGATGAAGAAAGCTTTTGGGGAAGCATTCGATGGGCAACGATGAAGAAAAGCTTTGGGGAAGCATCTAACGGGCAAATGATGAAGAAATCTTTTGGAAGCATTCAATGGGCAAATGATGAAGAAACTTTTGGGGAAGTATTCAATGGCAATGGATGAAGAAGCATTCAATTTGATGAAAGAAATCTTTGGGAAGCATCTAATGGTAAATGATGAAGAAAGCTTTTTGGGAAGTATTCAATGGGCAAATGATGAAGAAAGCTTTTGGGAGCATTCGATACGTAAATGATGAAGAAATGGGCAAATTTGGGAAGCATTCAATGGGTAATGATGAAGAAAAGCTTTTGGGAAGCATTCAATGGGCAAATGATGAAGAAATCTTTGGGGAAGCATTCAATGGGCAAATGATGAAGAAATCTTGGAAGCATTCAATGGGCAAATGATGAAGAAAGCTTTGGGAAGCATTCAATGGGCAAAATGATGAAGAATTCTTTGGGAAGCATTCAATGGGTAAATGATGGAAAGCTTTGGAAGCTATTCAATGGGCAAATGATGAAAGCTTTTGGGGAGCGATGATACGTAAATGATGAAGAAAGCTTTTGGGAAACGTTCAATGGGTAAATGATGAAGAAACTTTTGGGAAGCATTCAATGGGCAATGATGAAGAAATCTTTGGGAAGCATTGAAATACGTAAATGATGGGCAAATTCAATAGGCAAATGATGAAAACTTTGGAAGCATTCAATGGGCAAATGATGAAATGGGGCATTCAATGGGCAAATGATGAAATCTTTGGGGGCATTATTGGCAACGCCAAATGAAGAAAGCTTTTTAGGAAATTCAATGGGGTAAATGATGAAGAAATCTTGGAAGCATTCAATGGGCAAATGGGAAGGAGTGAAATTCTTTGAGAAGCATTCAATGGGCAAATGATGAAGAAATTTTGGGGAAGCATTCAATGGGCAAATGATGAAGAAAGCTTTTTAGAATGGGTAAATGATGAAGAAAGCTTTTGGAAGCATTGGGCAAATGATGAAGAACTTTGAGGGAAGCATTCAATTGAGAAGTATTCAATGGGCAAATGATGAAGATGAAGAAATGAAACTTTGGGGGGCAAAGTGGGAAGTATCAATGGCAAATGATGAAGAAACTTTAAAATAATTGATGGGGAAAAGCATTCAATATGCAAATGATGAAGAAATCTTTGGGAAGCATTCATCAATGGGCAAATGATGAAGAAAAAGTATCTTTTGGATGAAGAGAATTCTAATGGCAAAATGATGAAGAAATCTTTTGAAGAAATCTTTAAAGCATTCAATGGGTAAATGATGAAAAGCTTTTGGGAAGCATTCAATGGGCAAATGATGAAGAAATCTTTGGGGAAGCATCTATCACAAAGCATTCAATGGGCAAATGATGAAGAAATCTTTTGCAATGGGAAGAAATCTTTGGCAAATAATGAAGAAAGCTTTGGGGAAGCAATGATGAAGAAATGAGAGCAAATGATGAAGAAAGCTTTGGGGAAGCATTCAATGGGCAAATGGATGAAGAAATCTTGGGAAGCATTCAATGGGCAAATGATGAAGAAATCTTTTGAAGCATTCAATGGGCAAATGATGAAGAAAGCTTTGGGAAGCATTCAACGGGCAAATGATGAAGAAATCTTGGCAAAATGATGAAGAAAGCTGGGAATATCAATGGGCAAATGATGAAGAAAGCATCTAATGGTAAATGATGAAGAAAAGCATCTTAATGGGCAAATGATGAAGAAATTGGGGAAGTATCTAATGGACAAATGATGAAGAAAGCTTTTGGGAAGCATTCAATGGAAATGATGAAGAAAGCTTTGGGAAGCATCTAATGGCAAATGATGAAGAAATCTTTGTAAAGGTATCTAATGATTAAGGATGGGTGAAACTTTGGGGAAGTATCTAATGGCAAATGATGAAGAAAGCTTTTAGGAAGCATTCAATGGGTAAATGATGAAGAAAGTATTCAATGGGCAAATGATGGAAAGCAGCATTCAATGGGCAAATGATGAAGAAATCTTTTTGAAAGCATTCAATGGGCAAATGATGAAGAAATCTTTAGGAGCATTAATACGTAAACGATGAAGAAATCTTTTGGAAGCATGCAATGGGCAAATGATGAAGAAATCTTTGAGGCTAGCATTCAATGGGCAATGATGAAGAAACTTTGGAAAATTCAATGGGCAAATGATGAAGAAATCTTTGGGGAAGCAAATGGGCAAATGATGAAGAAAGCATTCAATGGGCAAATGAAGAAATCTTTAATGGCATTCAATGGCAAATGAAGAAACTTTTGGGAAGCATTCAATGGGCAAATGATGAAGAAAAGCATTCAATGGGCAAATGATGAAGAGCTTTTGGAAGCATTCAATGGGCAAATGATGAAGAAATCTTTTGGGAAGCATTCAATGGGCAAATGATGAAGAAATCTTTGGGGAAGCATTCAATGGGCAAATGATGAAGAAATCTTTGAAGCATTATGGGCAAATGAAGAAACTTTTGGGAAGCATTCAATGGGCAAATGATGAAGAAAGCTTTGAGGAAGCATCTAATGGGCAAATGATGAAGAAAAGCATTCAATGGGCAAATGATGAAGAAATCTTTGGGGAAGCTATTCAATGGGCAAATGATGAATGAAATCTTTTGGGGAGCATTCAATGGGCAAATGATGGCAATTGATGGGCAAAAGAAAGCTTTGGGAAGCATTCAATGGGCAAATGATGAAGAAAGCTTTTAGGAAGCATTCAATGGGCAAATGATGAAGAAATCTTTTGGGGAAGCATTCAATGGCAAATGATGAAAATCTTTGGGAAGCATTCAATGGGCAAATGATGAAGAAATCTTTGGGGGAAGCATTGGACAACTTTTGGGCAAATGGGATGAAGAAACATCTTTGGGAAGCATTCAATGGGCAAATGATGAAGAAATCTTTGGGGAAGCATTCAATGGGATTAAATGATGAATTTTGGGGAAGCATTCAATGGGCAAATGATGAAGAAAGCTTTGGGGAAGCATTCAATGGGTAAAATGATGAAGCATTCAAGGAAGCATTCAATGGCAAATGATGAAGAAATCTTTGGGAAGCATTCAATGACAAATGATGGGCAAATGATGAAGAAATCTTTGGGGGAAGTATTCAATGTACCAAATGATGAAAAGGCTTTAGGGAAGCATTCAATGGGCAAATGATGAAGAAATCTTTTTGAAGCATTCAAGAATGGCAAATGATGAAGAAATCTTTTGGAAGCATTCAATGGGCAAATGATGAAAAATTTTGGGGAATTCGATACATAATGATGGCAAATGATGAAGAAAGCTTTTGGGAAGCATTCAATGGAAATGATGAAGACATCTGCAGGGAAGTATTCAATGGGCAAATGATGAAGATCTTGGGGGAAGCATTCAATGGGCAAATGATGAAGAAATCTTTTGGGGAAGCACCACGGCAATGATGAAAGAATCTTTGGTAAAGCATTCAATGGGTAAATGATGAAGAAATCTTTGGATTCATTCAAATGGGCAAATGCAAATGAAGAAAATCTTTTGGGAGCATTCAATGGGCAAATGATGAAGAAATCTTTGGGGGAAGCATTCAATGGGCAAATGATGAAAGCTTTTGAAAGCATTCAATGGGAAAATGATGAAGAAATCTTTGGAAGCATTCAATGTGCAAAATGAAGAAATCTTTGGGGAAGCATTCAATGGGTAAATGATGAAGAAATCTTTGGGAAATATCAATGGGCAAATGATGAAGAAGCGACACAGGAAGCATCTAATGGGCAAATGATGAAGAAAATCTTGGGGAAGCATTCAATGGGCAAATGATGAAGAAAGCTTTTGGGGAAGACTAACGGGCAAATGATGAAGAAATCTGGGGAAGCATTCAATGGGCAAATGATTAGAAAGCTTTGGGAGTACCGATGTAAATTATGAAGAAAGCTGGAAGTATGTATCGGGTAAAATGATGAAGAAATCTTTGGGGAAGCATTCACGGGCAAATGATGAAGAAATCTTTGGGGAAGCTATTCAATGGGCAATGATGAAGAAATCTTTGGGGAAGCATTCAATGGGCAATGATGAAGAAAGCTTTTGGGAAGCATTCAATGGGCAAATGATGAAGAAATCTTTTGGAAGCATTCATCGGCAAATGATAAAGAAAGCTTTTGGGAAGCATTCAATGGGCAAATGATGAAGAAATCTTTGGAAGCATTCGATGGGCAAATGATGAAGAAAGCTTTGGGAATCTGATACGCAAATGATGAAGAAAGCTTTTGGGAAGCATTCAATGGGCAAATGATGAAGAAATCTTTAAAGCATTCAATGGGCAAATGATGAAGAAATCTTTTGGGGAAGCATTCACTGGCAAATGATGAAGAAATCTTTTAAAGCATCTAATGGGCAAAATGATGAAGAAATCTTTGGGGAAGCATTCAATGGGCAAATGATGAAGAAAGCTTTTTTGGGAAGCATCTAATACGCAAATGATGAAGAAATCTTTTGGGAAGCATTAATGGGTAAATGATGAAGAAATCTTTTGGGGAAGCATTCAATGGGCAATGATGAAGAAATCTTTGGGAAGCATCTAATGGGCAAATGATGAAGAAAGCTTTGGGGAAGCATCTAATGGGAAATGATGAAGAAATCTTTTGGGGAAGCATTCAATGGGCAAATGATGAAGAAAGCTTTGGGGAAGCATTCAATGGCAAATGATGAAGAAATCTTTGGGGAAGCATTCAAATGATGAAAATGGCAAATGATGAAGAAAGCTTTGGGGAAGCATTCAATGGGCAAATGATGAAGAAATCTTTGGGGAAGCATTCAATGGGCAAATGATGAAGAAATCTTTGGCATTCAATGGGCAAATGATGAAGAAATCTTTTTTGGGGAAGTATCATTCAATGGCAAATGATGAAGCAGCTTTGAAAGCATTCAATGGGCAAATGATGAAGAAATCTTTGGGAAGCATTCAATGGGGATTAAATGATGAAGAAATCTTTTGGGGAAGCATTCAATGGCAAATGATGAAGAAATCTTTAAGCATTCAATGGCAAATGATGAAGAAATCTTTTCATTCAATGGATGAAGAAATTCAAACATTCAATGGGCAAATGATGAAGAAATCTGGGGAAGCATTCAATGGGCAAATGATGAAGAAATCTTTGGAAGCATTTTGGGAAGCATTCAATGGGCAAATGATGAAGAAATCTTTCATTTGGGGAAGTATTCAATGGGCAAATGATGAAGAAATCTTTTGGAAAGCATTCAATGGGCAAAATGATGAAGAAATCTTTTGAAGCATTCAATGGGCAATGATGAAGAAATCTTTTGGGGAAGCATTCAATGGGCAAATGATGAAGAAATCTTTTGGGGAAGCATTCAATGGGCAAATGATGAAGAAATCTTTGGGAAGCATTCAATGGGCAAATGATGAAGAAATCTTTGGGGAACATTCAATGGGCAAATGATGAAGAAATCTTTTGGAAGCATTCAATGGGCAAATGATGAAGAAATCTTTGGGGAAGCATTCAATGGGCAAATGATGAAGAAATCTTTGGGAAGCATCAATCAAATGATACAGGAAATTCAATGAAGAAAAGCTGGGGAAGCATTCAATGGGTAAAATGATGAAGAAATCTTTTTGGGGAAGCATTCAATGGGCAAATGATGAAGAAATCTTTTGGGGAAGCATTCAATGGACAAATGATGAAGAAATCATTTTGGGGAAGCACTAATGGGCAAATGATGAAGAAATCTTGGAAGCATTCAATGGGCAAATGATGAAGAAATTTTGGAAGCATTCAATGGGCAAATGATGAAGAAAGCATTCAATGAGCAATGATGAAGAAATCTTTTGGAAGCATTCACGGGCAAATGATGAAGAAAGCTTTTGGGAAGCATTCAATGGGAAAATGATGAAGAAATTTTGGGGAAGCATTCAATGGGCAAATGATGAAGAAAATCTTTGGGGGAAGCATTCAATGGGCAAATGATGAAGAAAGCTTTTGGGAAGCATTCAATGGGCAAATGATGAAAGAAATCTTAAAGTATCTAATGGGCAAATGGGATACATGAAATCTTTGGGGAAGCATTCAATGGCAAATGATGAAGAAATCTTGGGAAGCATCTAATGGCAAACGATGAAGAAATCTTTGGGGAAGCATTCAATGGGCAAAATGATGAAGAAAGCATTCAATGGGCAAATTGGGGAAGTATTCAATGGGCAAATGATGAAGAAATCTTTGGAAGCATTCAATGGGCAAATGATGAAGAAAGCTTGGGGAAGCATTCAATGGGCATAAATGATGAAGAAATGGGGAAGCATTCAATGGCAAATGATTAAAGAAAGCTTTGGGGAAGCATTGGGCAAATGGGAAATCTTTGGGGAAGCATTCATCTTTGAAGAAAGGAATTCAATGGGCAAATGATGAAGAAATCTTTTTTGGGCAAATGATGGAAGCATTCAATGGGCAAATGATGAAGAAATTTTGGGGAAGCATTCAATGGGCAAATGATGAAGAAATCTTTAGGAAGCATTGGGCAAAATGGCTTTGGGAAAAATGGGGACAAATCTTTTGGAAGCATTCAATGGGCAAATGATGAAGAAATCTTTGGGGGAAGCATTCAATGGGCAAATGATGAAAGAAAATCTTTGGGGAAGCATTCAATGGGCAAATGATGAAGAAAGCTTTTGGAAAGCATTCAATGGGCAAAATGATGAAGAAATCTTTTGGAAGCATTCAATGGGCAAATGATGAAGAAATCTTTTGGGGAAGCATTCAATGGGCAAATGATGAAGAAATCTTTTGGGAAGCATTCAATGGCAAAATGATGAAGAAATCTTTTGGAAAGCATTCAATGGGCAAATGATGAAGAAAAGGAAGCATTCAATGGCAAATTCTTTGGGAAGCATTCAATGGGCAAATGATGAAGAAATCTTTGGGGAAGCATTCAATGGGCAAATGATGAAGAAATCTTTGGGAAGCATTCAATGGGCAAATGATGAAGAAATCTTTGGGAAACATTCAATGGGCAAATGATGAAGAAATCTTTTGGGGAAGCATTCAATGGGCAAATGATGAAGAAATCTTTGGGGAAGCATTCAATGGGCAAATGATGAAGAAATCTTTTGAAACATTCAATGGGCAAATGATGAAGAAAGCTTTGGGAAGCATTCAATGGGCAAATGATGAAGAAAGCTTTTGGAAGCATTGGGCAAAATGATGGAAGCATTCAATGGGCAAATGATGAAGGAAGCATTCAATGGGCAAATGATGAAGAAATCTTTGGGAAGCATTCAATGGGCAAATGATGAAGATTCAATGGGCAAATGATGAAGAAATTTTTGGGGAAGCATTCAATGGGCAAATGATGAAGAAATCTTTGGGGAAGCATTCAATGGGCAAAATGAAGAAATCTTTGGGGGAAGCAAATGGGCTTTGGGGAAGCATTCAATGGGCAAATGATGAAGAAATCTTTGGGGAAGCATTCAATGGGCAAATGATGAAGAAAGCTTTGGGAAGCATTCAATGGGCAAATGATGAAGAAAATCTTTGGGGAAGCATTCAATGGGCAAATGATGAAGAAATCTTTTGGGAAGCATTCAATGGGCAAATGATGAAGAAATCTTTGGGAAGCATTCAATGGGCAAATGATGAAGAAATCTTTTTGGGAAGCATTCAATGGGCAAATGATGAAGAAGAAAGCATCTAATTGATGGGAAGCATTCAATGGGCAAATGATGAAGAAATCTTTTGGGAAGCATTCAATGGGCAAATGATGAAGAAATCTTTGGGGAAGCATTCAATGGACAAATGATGAAGAAATCTTTTGGGAAGCATTCAATGGAAAATGATGAAGAAAGCTTTTGGGAAGCATTCAATGGGCAAATGATGAAGAAATCTTTGGGAAGCATTCAATGGGTAAATGATGAAGAAAGCTTTTGAAGCATTCAATGGGCAAATGATGAAAAATCTTTGGGAAGCATTCAATGGGCAAATGATGAAGAAATCTTTGGGAAGCATTCAATGGGCAAATGATGAAGAAATGGGCTTTGAGGGGGAAGCATTCAATGGGCAAATGATGAAGAAATCTTTGGGGGAAGCATTCAATGGGCAAATGATGAAGAAATCTTTGGGGAAGCAATGATGAAGAAATGGGCAAATGATGAAGAAATCTTTGGGGAAGCATTCAATGGGCAAATGATGAAGAAATCTTTGGGAAGCATTCAATGGGCAAATGATGAAGAAAGCTTTTGGGGAGCATTCAATGGGTAAATGATGAAGAAAGCTTTTGGAAGCATTCAATGGGCAAATGATGAAGAAATCTTTGGGGAAGCATTCAATGGGCAAATGATGAAGAAATCTTTTGGGGAAGCATTCAATGGGCAAATGATGAAGAAATCTTTGGGAAGCATTCAATGGGCAAATGATGAAGAAAGCTTTTGGGAAGCATTCAATGGGCAAATGATGAAGAAATCTTTTGGGAAGCATTCAATGGGCAAATGATGAAGAAAGCTTTTGGGAAGCATTCAATGGGCAAATGATGAAGAAATCTTTGGGAAGCATTCAATGGGCAAATGATGAAGAAAGCTTTTGGGAAGCATTCAATGGGTAAATTATGAAGAAATCTTTTGGGCATTCAATGGGATGAAGAAATCTTTGGGGAAGCATTCAATGGGCAAATGATGAAGAAATCTTTTGGGGAAGCATTCAATGGGCAAATGATGAAGAAAGCTTTTGGGAAGCATTCAATGGGCAAATGATGAAGAAATCTTTTGGAAGCATTCAATGGGCAAATGATGAAGAAATCTTTGGAAGCATTCAATGGGCAAATGATGAAGAAAGCTTTGGGAAGCATTCAATGGGCAAATGAAGAAAGCTTTTGGAAGCATTCAATGGGCAAAATGATGAAGAAATCTTTTGGAAGCATTCAATGGGCAAATGATGAAGAAATCTTTTGGGGAGCATTCAATGGGCAAATGATGAAGAAATCTTTGGGGAAGCATTCAATGGGCAAATGATGAAGAAATCTTTTGGAAGCATTCAATGGGCAAATGATGAAGAAATCTTTGGGGAAGCATTCAATGGGCAAATGATGAAGAAATCTTTTGGGGAAGCATTCAATGGGCAAATGATGAAGAAATCTTTTGGGGAAGCATTTGATGAAGAAAGCATTCAATGGGCAAATGATGAAGAAATCTTTGGGGAAGCATTCAATGGGTAAAATGATGAAGAAATCTTTGGGGAAGCATTCAATGGGCAAATGATGAAGAAATCTTTGGGGAAGCATTCAATGGGCAAATGATGAAAGAAAGCTTTTAAGGAGCATTCAATGAACTGGAAAGTGAAGGAAATCTTTTGAGGGAAGCATTCAATGGAGCAATGGTGAAGAAAGCTTTTGAGAACATTCAAGTACGCAAATGATGAAGAAAGCTTTGGGAGCATTCCGTGCCTGCTAACAAATGATGAAGAAAGCTTTTGGGAAGCATTCAATGGGCAAATGATGAAGAAAGCTTTTGGGGAGCATTCAATGGGCAAATGATGAAGAAATCTTTAATGGGGATGAAGAAATTCAATGATACGCAAATGATGAAGAAATCTTTGGGGAGCATTCCGATACGCAATGATGAAGAAATCTTTTGGGAAGCATTCAATGGGCAAAATGAAAGAAATCTTAAATGAATGGGCAAAATCTTTGGGGAAGCATTCAATGGCAAATGATGAAGAAATCTTTTGGGGGAAGCATCTAATGGCAAATGATGAAGAAATCTTTGGGGAAGATGAAAATTCAATGGGCAAATGATGAAGAAATCTTTGGGGAAGTATTCAATGGGCAAATGATGAAGCAAAGCTAAATGATGAAGAAAGCTTGGGGAAGCATTCAATGGGAAAAATGAAGAAATTGAAGCATTCAATCTTTAAAGAAAGCTTTGGGAAGCATTCAATGGGAAAATGATGGCAAATGATGGGCAAATGACGAAGAAATCTTTGGGAAGCATTCAATGGGCAAATGATGAAGAAATCTTTGGGGAAGCATCTAATGGGCAAATGATGAAAGCTTTTGGAAGCATTCAATTTGATGAAGAAATCTTTTGGAAGCATTCAATGGGCAAATGATGAAGAAATCTTTTGGGAGCATTCAATGGGCAAATGATGATGAAAATCTTTGAGAGCATTTAATGGGTAAAATGATGAAAAGAAAATCTTTTTGGAAAGCATTCAATGGGCAAAATGATGAAGAAATCTTGGAAGCATTCAATGCAAATGATGAAGAAATCTTTTGGGGAAGCATTCATTCAAAATGATGAAGAAATCTTTGGGCAAGTATTCAATGGCAAAATGAATGAAGAAATCTTTGAAGAAAGCATTCAATGGGCAAATGATGAAGAAATCTGAAGGAAATACAGAAGAAAGCTTGGGAAGCATTCAATGGGCAAATGATGAAGAAATCTTTGGGGAAGCATTCAATGGGCAAATGATGAAGAAATCTTTGAGGAAGCATTCGATAAATGCAAATGAAAGAAATCTTTGGGAAGCATTCAATGGGCAAATGATGAAGAAATCTTTGGGGAAGCATTCAATGGGCAAATGATGAAAATCTTTTGGGAAATTCAATGGGCAAATTTGGGGAAGCATTCAATGGGCAAATGATGAAAGCTCTTTGGGGGAAGCATTCAATGGGCAAATGATGAAGAAAATCTTTTGGAAGCATTCAATGGGCAAAATGATGAGGGAAGCAAATGGGCAAATGATGAAAATCTTTGGGGAAGCATTCAATGGGCAAATGATGAAGAAATCTTTGGGAAACATTCAATGGGCAAATGATGAAAATCTTTGGGAAGCATTCAATGGGCAAATGATGAAGAAATCTTTGGGGAAGCATTCAATGGGCAAATGATGAAGAAATCTTTGGGGGAAGCATTCAATGGGCAAATGATGAAGAAAATCTTTGGGATTCAATGGGCAAATTGAAGAAAGCTTTTGGGAAGCATTCAATGCAAATGAAGAAAAATCATTTTGGGAAGCATTCAATGGGCAAAATGATGAAGAAAATCTTTGGGGAAGCATTCAATGGGCAAATGATGAAAGAAATCTTTGGGAAGCATTCAATGGGAAAATGATGAAGAAATCTTTTGGGAAGCATTCAATGGGCAAATGATGAAGAAATCTTTTGGGGAAGCATTCAATGGGCAAATGATGAAGAAATCTTTGGGGAAGCATTCAATGGGCAAAATGATGAAGAAATCTTTGGGGAAGCATTCAATGGGCAAATGATGAAGAAAACTTTTGGAAGCATTCAATGGGCAAATGATGAAGAAATCTTTGGGAAGCATTCAATGGGCAAATGATGAAGAAGGAAAAGCATTTGGGGAAGCATTCAATGGGCAAATGATGAAGAAAAAAATGATTTTTGGGAAGCATTCAATGGGCAAATGATGAAGAAATCTTTTGGAAGCATTCAATGGGCAAATGATGAAAAATCTTTTGGGAAGCATTCAATGGGCAAATGATGAAGAAATCTTTTGGGAAGCATTCAATGGGCAAATGATGAAAAAAGCATTTGAAGGAAGCATTCAATGGGCAAATGATGAAGAAATCTTTTGGGAAGCATTCAATGGGCAAAGGCGATAGTGAAAATCTTTGGGAAGCATTCAATGGGCAAATGATGAAGAAATCTTTGGGGAAGCATTCAATGGGCAAATGATGAAGAAATCTTTGGGGAAGCATTCAATGGGCAAATGATGAAGAAATCTTTTGGGAAGCATTCAATGGGCAAATGATGAAGAAATCTTTTGGAAGCATTCAATGTAAAAAATGAAGAAATCTTTGGGAAGCATTCAATGGGCAAATGATGAAGAAATCTTTGGGGAAGCATTCAATGGGCAAATGATGAAGAAATCTTTGGGGGAAGCATTCAATGGGCAAATGATGAAAGAAATCTTTGGGAAGCATTCAATTTGATGAAGAAATCTTTGGGGAAGCATTCAATGGGCAAATGATGAAGAAATCTTTTGGGAAGCATTCAATGGGCAAAAGATTCAATGGGAAATGATTTTAGGAAGCATTCAATGGGCAAATGATGAAAAAATTCTTTGGGAAGCATTCAATGGGCAAATGATGAAGAAATCTTTTGGGGAAATTCAATGGGCAAATTTAAGGGAAGCATTCAATGGGCAAATGATGAAGAAATCTTTGGGGAAGCATTCAATGGGCAAATGATGAAGAAATCTTTTGGGAAGCATTCAATGGGCAAATGATGAAAGAAATCTTTTAGGAAGCATTCAATGGGCAAATGATGAAGAAAGGAAGCATTCAATGGGCAAATGATGAAGAAATCTTTTGGGAAGCATTCAATGGGCAAAATGATGAAAGAAATCTTTGGGGAAGCATTCAATGGGCAAATGATGAAGAAATCTTTGGGAAGCATTCAATGGGCAAATGATGAAGAAATCTTTTGGGGAAGCATTCAATGGGCAAATGATGAAGAAATCTTTTGGGGAAGCATTCAATGGGCAAATGATGAAGAAAGCTTTTGGGAAGCATTCAATGGGCAAATGATGAAGAAATCTTTGGGGAAGCATTCAATGGGCAAATGATGAAGAAATCTTTGGGAAGCATTCAATGGGCAAATGATGAAGAAATCTTTGGGAAGCATTCAATGGGCAAATGATGAAGAAATCTTTGGGGAAGCATTCAATGGGCAAATGATGAAGAAAGCTTTGGGAAGCATTCAATGGGCAAATGATGAATGAAATCTTTTGGGAAGCATTCAATGGGCAAATGATAAAAGAAATCTTTGGGGGAAGCATTCAATGGGCAAATGATGAAAGAAATCTTTGGGGAAGCATTCAATGGCAAATGATGAAGAAATCTTTGGGAAGCATTCAATGGGCAAATGATGAAGAAATCTTTAGGAAGCATTCAATGGGCAAATGATGAAGAAATCTTTGGGGAAGCATTCAATGGGCAAATGATGAAAGAAATCTTTGGGGAAGCATTCAATGGGCAAATGATAAAAGAAATCTTTGGGAAAGCATTCAATGGGCAAATGATGAAGAAATTTTGGGGAAGCATTCAATGGGCAAATGATCAATCTTTTGGGGAAGCATTCAAATGCAAATGAAGAAATCTTTGGGGAAGCATTCAATGGGCAAATGATGAAGAAATCTTTTGGAAGCATTCAATGGGCAAATGATGAAGAAAGCTTTTGGGAAGCATTCAATGGGCAAATGATGAAGAAATCTTTGGGGAAGCATTCAATGGGCAAATGATGAAGAAATCTTTGGGGAAGCATTCAATGGGCAAATGATGAAGAAATCTTTGGGGAAGCATTCAATCAATGGGCAAATGATGAAGAAATCTTTTGGGAAGCATTCAATGGGCAAATGATGAAAAGAAATCTTTGGGGAAGCATTCAATGGGCAAATGATGAAGAAATCTTTGGGGAAGCATTCAATGGGCAAATGATGAAAAGAAATCTTTGGGAAGCATTCAATGGGTAAATGATGAAGAAATCTTAGGGGAAGCATTCAATGGGCAAATGATGAAGAAAGCTTTGGGAAGCATTCAATGGGCAAATGATGAAGAAAATCTTTGGAAGCATTCAATGGGCAAATGATGAAGAAATCTTTGGGGAAGCATTCAATGGGCAAATGATGAAGAAATCTTTGGGGAAGCATTCAATGGGCAAATGATGAAAGAAATCTTTGGGGAAGCATTCAATGGGCAAATGATGAAGAAAGCTTTTTGGGAAGCATTCAATGGGCAAATGATGAAGAAATCTTTTGGGGAAGCATTCAATGGGCAAATGGGAAAATTTAGGGGAAGCATTCAATGGGCAAATGATGAAGAAAACTTTGGGAAGCATTCAATGGGCAAATGATGAAGAAATCTTTGGGGAAGCATTCAATGGGCAAATGATGAAGAAATCTTTTGGGAAGCATTCAATGGGCAAATGATGAAGAAATCTTTTGGGAAGCATTCAATGGGCAAATGATGAAGATCTTTTGGGAAGCATTCAATGGGCAAATGATGAAGAAATCTTTTTGGGAAGCATTCAATGGGCAAATGATGAAGAAAATCTTTGGGGAAGCATTCAATGGGCAAATGATGAAATCTTTTGGGAAGCATTCAATGGGCAAATGATGAAGAAATCTTTTGGGAAGCATTCAATGGGCAAATGATGAAGAAAGCTTTTGGGAAGCATTCAATGGGCAAATGATGAAGAAATCTTTGGGGAAGCATTCAATGGGCAAATGATGAAGAAATCTTTGGGAAGCATTCAATGGGCAAATGATGAAGAAATCTTTGGGGAAGCATTCAATGGGCAAATGATGAAGAAATCTTTGGGAAGCATTCAATGGGCAAATGATGAAAGAAATCTTTGGGGAAGCATTCAATGGGCAAATGATGAAGAAATCTTTTGGGAAAATTCAATGGGCAAATGATGAAGAAATCTTTGGGAAGCATTCAATGGGCAAATGATGAAGAAATCTTTGGGGAAGCATTCAATGGGCAAATGATGAAGAAATCTTTGGGGAAGCATTCAATGGGCAAATGATGAAGAAATCTTTGGGGAAGCATTCAATGGGCAAATGATGAAGAAATCTTTTGGAAGAAGCATTCAATGGGCAAATGATGAAAGAAATCTTTGGGGAAATCTTTGATGAAGAATTCTTTTGGAAGCATTCAATGGGCAAATGATGAAGAAATCTTTGGGAAGCATTCAATGGGCAAATGATGAAAGAAATCTTTTGGGAAGCATTCAATGGGCAAATGATGAAGAAATCTTTGGGGGAAGCATTCAATGGGCAAATGATGAAAGGAAATCTTTGGGGAAGCATTCAATGGGCAAATGATGAAGAAATCTTTGGGGAAGCATTCAATGGGCAAATGATGAAGAAATCTTTGAGAAGCATTCAATGGGCAAATGATGAAGAAATCTTTGGGAAGCATTCAATGGGCAAATGATGAAGAAATCTTTTGGGAAGCATTCAATGGGCAAATGATGAAGAAATCTTTGGGGAAGCATTCAATGGGCAAATGATGAAAATCTTTGGGAAGCATTCAATGGGCAAATGATGAAGAAAGCTTTTGAGAAGCATTCAATGGGCAAATGATGAAGAAAGCTTTTGGGAAGCATTCAATGGGTAAATGATGAAGAAAGCTTTGGGGAAGCATTCAATGGGCAAATGATGAAGAAAGCTTTTGGGAAGCATTCAATGGGCAAATGATGAAGAAATCTTTTGGGAAGCATTCAATGGGCAAATGATGAAGAAATCTTTGGGAAGCATTCAATTGATGAAATCTTTGGGCAAATGATGAAAAATCTTTGGGGAAGCATTCAATGGGCAAATGATGAAGAAATCTTTGGGAAGCATTCAATGGGCAAATGATGAAGAAAAGTAAATTTTTGGGAAGCATTCAATGGGCAAATGATGAAGAAATCTTTTGGGAAGCATTCAATGGGCAAATGATGAAGAAATCTTTGGGGAAGCATTCAATGGGCAAATGATGAAGAAATCTTTTTGGGGAAGCATTCAATGGGCAAATGATGGGCAAATGATGAAAATCTTTGGGAAGCATTCAATGGGCAAATGATGAAGAAATCTTTTGGAGGAAGCATTCAATGGGCAAATGATGAAGAAAAGCTTTGATGGGAAGCATTCAATGGGCAAATGATGAAGAAATCTTTGGGAAGCATTCAATGGGCAAATGATGAAGAAATCTTTGGGAAGCATTCAATGGGCAAATGATGAAGAAAGCTTTGGGAAGCATTCAATGGGCAAATGATGAAAGAAATCTTTTGGAGGCATTCAATGGGCAAATGATGAAAAGAAATCTTTGGGGAATCATTCAATGGGAAAATGATGAAGAAATCTTTGGGGAAGCATTCAATGGGCAAATGATGAAGAAAGCTTTTGGGAAGCATTCAATGGGCAAATGATGAAGAAAGCTTTTGGGAAGCATTCAATGGGCAAATGATGAAGAAATCTTTGGGGAAGCATTCAATGGGCAAATGATGAAGAAATCTTTGGGGAAGCATTCAATGGGCAAATGATGAAGAAAGCTTTTGGGAAGCATTCAATGGGCAAATGATGAAAAAGCTTTTTGGGAAGCATTCAATGGGCAAATGATGGAAAATCTTTGGGGAAGCATTCAATGGCAAATGATGAAGAAAGCTTTTGGGGAAGCATTCAATGGGCAAATGATGAAGAAATCTTTGGGAAGCATTCAATGGGCAAATGATGAAGAAAGCTTTTGGGAAGCATTCAATGGGCAAATGATGAAGAAATCTTTGGGGAAGCATTCAATGGGCAAATGATGAAGAAAGCTTTTGGGAAGCATTCAATGGGCAAATGATGAAGAAATCTTTGGGGAAGCATTCAATGGGCAAATGATGAAGAAAGCTTTTGGGGAAGCATTCAATGGGCAAATGAAGAAATCTTTGGGGAAGCATTCAATGGGCAAATGATGAAGAAATCTTTGGGGGAAGCATTCAATGGGCAAATGAAAAATCTTTGGGAAGCATTCAATGGGCAAATGATGAAGAAATCTTTTGGGAAGCATTCAATCAAAAATGAAGAAAGCTTTTGGGAAGCATTCAATGGGCAAATGATGAAGAAATCTTTGGGGAAGCATTCAATGGGCAAATGATGAAGAAAGCTTTTGGGAAGCATTCAATGGGCAAATGATGAAGAAATCTTTGGGGAAGCATTCAATGGGCAAATGATAAAGAAAGCTTTTGGGAAGCATTCAATGGGCAAATGATGAAGAAAGCTTTTGGGAAGCATTCAATGGGCAAATGATGAAGAAAGCTTTTGGGAAGCATTCAATGGGCAAATGATGAAGAAAGCTTTTGGGGAGCATTCGATACGTAAATGATGAAGAAAGCTTTTGGGAAGCATTCAATGGGCAAATGATGAAGAAATCTTTTGGGAAGCATTCAATGGGCAAATGATGAAGAAATCTTTTGGGAAGCATTCAATGGGCAAATGATGAAGAAATCTTTGGGGAAGCATTCAATACGTAAATGATGAAGGCTTTTGGGAAATTCAATGGGCAAATGATGAAAATCTTTTGGGGCATTCAATGGGCAAATTCAATGGGCAAATGATGAAGAAATGATCTTTTTTGGGAAGCATTCAATGGGCAAATGATGAAAAATCTTTTGGGAAGCATTCAATGGGCAAATGATGAAGAAGCTTTTTGGGAAGCATTCAATGGGCAAATGATGAAGAAAGCTTTTGGGAAGCATTCAATGGGCAAATGATGAAAGAAAGCTTTTGGGAAGCATTCAATGGGCAAATGATGAAGAAATCTTTGGGGATGCATTCAATGGGCAAATGATGAAAGAAAGCGTTTGGGGAGCATTCGAAGAAAGCTTTGGGAAGCATTCAATGGGCAAATGATGAAGAAATCTTTTTGGGAAGCATTCAATGGGCAAATGATGAAGAAAGCTTTTTGGGAAGCATTCAATGGGCAAATGATGAAGAAAGCTTTTGGGAAGCATTCAATGGGCAAATGATGGAAGCATTCAATGGGCAAATGATGAAAAAGCTTTTGGGAAGCATTCAATAAGTAAATGATGAAGAAAGCTTTTGGGGAAGCATTCAATGGGCAAATGATGAAGAAATCTTTGGGAAGCATTCAATGGGCAAATGATGAAAGAAATCTTTGGGGAAGCATTCAATGGGGGGAAGCAAATGGGCAAATGATGAAGAAATTTTGGGGAAGCATTCAATGGGCAAATGATGAAAGCTCTTTGGGAAGCATTCGATACGTAAATGAAATGGGAAGCATTCAATGGGCAAATGATGAAGAAATCTTTTTGGGAAGCATTCAATGGGCAAATGATGAAGAAAGCTTTGGGGAATTCAATGGGTAAATGATGAAGAAAGCTTTTAAATGGGAAAGCATTCAATGGGCAAATGATGAAGAAATCATTGAGGGAAGCATTCAATGGGCAAATGATGAAAGCTTTGGGGAAGCATTCAATGGGCAAATGATGAAGAAATCTTTGGGGAAGCATTCAATGGGCAAATGATGAAGAAATCTTTTGGGAAGCATTCAATGGGCAAATGATGAAGAAATCTTTGGGGAAGCATTTGGATAAAATGATGAAGAAATCTTTGGGAATTCAATGGGCAAATGATGAAGAAATCTTTGGGGAAGCATTCAATATGCAAATGATGAAGAAATCTTTGGGGAAGCATTCAATGGGCAAATGATGAAGAAATCTTTGGGGAAGCATTCAATGGGCAAATGATGAAGAAATCTTTGGGGAAGCATTCAATGGGCAAATGATGAAGAAAGCTTTTGGGAAGCATTCAATGGGCAAATGATGAAGAAATCTTTTGGGAAGCATTCAATGGGCAAATGATGAAGAAATCTTTTGGAAGCATTCAATGGGCAAATGATGAAGAAAGCTTTTGGGAAGCATTCAATGGGCAAATGATGAAGAAATCTTTGGGGATACATTCAATGGGCAAATGATGAAGAAAGCGTTTGGGGAGCATTCGATACGTAAATGATGAAGAAAGCTTTTGGGAAGCATTCTATGGGCAAATGATGAAGAAAGCTTTTGGGAAGCATTCAATGGGCAAATGATGAAGAAAGCTTTTGGGAAGCATTCAATGGGCAAATGATGAAGAAAGCTTTTGGGAATTCATTCAATGGGAAGCATTCAAATGATGAAGAAAGCTTTGGGAAGCATTTTGGGAAGCATTCAATGGGCAAATGATGAAGAAAAGCTTTTGGGAAGCATTCAATGGGCAAATGATGAAGAAATCGATTTTTTAATTGGGCAAATGATGAAGAAAGCTTTTGGGAAGCATTCAATGGGCAAATGATGAAGAAAGCTTTTGGAAGCATTCAATGGGCAAATGATGAAGAAATCTTGGGGAAGCATTCAATGGGCAAATGATGAAGAAATCTTTGGGGAAGCATTCGATGAAGAAAACTTTGGAAGCATTAAATGATGAAGAAAGCATTCAATTTTGGGAAGCATTCAATGGGCAAATGATGAAGAAAGCTTTTTAGGAAGCATTCAATGGGCAAATGATGAAGAAAGCTTTTGGGAGCATTCGATAAGTAAATGATGAAGAAAGCTTTTGGGAAGCATTCAATGGGCAAATGATGAAGAAAGCTTTTGGGAAGCATTCAATGGGCAAATGATGAAGAAAGCTTTTGGGAAGCATTCAATGGGCAAATGATGAAGAAAGCTTTTGGGAAGCATTCAATGGGCAAATGATGAAGAAATCTTTGGGGAAGCATTCAATGGGCAAATGATGAAGAAAGCTTTTAAAGCATTTGGGGGAAATCTTTGGGGAAGCATTCGATACGTAAATGATGAAGCTTTTTGGAAAGCATTCAATGGGCAAATTGAAGAAAGCTTTGGGAAGCATTCAATGGGCAAATGATGAAGAAATCTTTTGGGAAGCATTCAATGGGCAAATGATGAAGAAATCTTTGGGGCATTCGAACGTAAATTGAAGAAAGCTTTTGGGGGCATTCAATGGGCAAATGATGAAGAATCTTTGGGGAAGCATTTTTGATGGAAAGCTTTTGGGAAGCATTCAATTCAATGGGCAAATGATGAAGAATTCTTTTGGGAAGCATTCAATGGGCAAATGATGAAGAAAAGCATTTTGGGAAGCATTCAATGGGCAAATGATGAATTCTTTTTCATTTGGGCAAATGATGAAGAAATCTTTTGGAAGCATTCAATGGGCAAATGATGAAGGCTTTTTGGGAAGCATTCAATGGGCAAATGATGAAGCTTTTGGGAAGCATTCGTAAATACGTAAATGATGAAGCATTCAAAGCATTCGATTTTGCTTTTGGGAAGCATTCAATGGGTAAATGATGAAGAAAGCTTTTGGGAAGCATTCAATGGGCAAATGATGAAGAAATCTTTGGGGAAGCATTCAATGGGCAAATGACTAAAGAAACTTTCTAGGCATAATTCAATAAACAAGCAATTAAGTAAGATTTTGTGGAACATTCAATATGTCACTATGGGGTAATTATTCGAACTTGTATCAGCAAATCATTATTATATCTCCGAAATTTTTACAAGTTGAAAATATTTTCTGTCTTTAAATAACCTGCAAAATGTTGATAAGGCATAAAAACTAATTAAACAATCCATAAAATATCATATCTTTGCATATCAGTGGTTCATGAAAGCCAAAATTATTCAGGCACTAGAAAATTTGTAAATATGTACTGGAAAGCAGGAAAATGTTTTGATATATAAACAATATTTAAGTATATATATATATATATATATATATATGAATTGTGATAAATACAGATCAAATATGAAGCAGAATCTGACAGAATTTAAGGATAAAGAACAAATAGGAAAATTTATCCATCTAACATTTTTCTCTATTTTGAAAACTTCATTAGAGAATGAGATATGGAGAAAAAAGAAAAATTCTGGTAATTTTAGTTTTGTGTCTTTTGATTTCCTTTACATTCATTGACATGCTTATACCTGTGAGAAAGTTATGAATCCATTTCTTGTAACCCCTAGGGTAAATAACAGGACAGATTGGATTCTGTTGTCTTAGTTGGAAACCATCTTGGAGAAGGGAACATAATTATCAATAAATGGCAGGACAGACTGGGTTCTATCTCTCGCAATATCTGTACATATATATATTGTTTCAAAACAAGAGCCGAAAACTTCAATATAATTATTTGAATTAAATTGAATTAAAATACCAAGCTCTGTTCCATCTTCAAGCAAAATTTTTTTGGAATAACTTATTCCTGAAACTTACGCGTTTTATAAGCATATTCATTATTGAAATTAAAATTACTATGGTAACGGCTAGAGCAATTGTTTAAAGAAAAGGGGCATAAGGGTTTATAATATATATATATATATATATATATATATATATATATATATACATTGTTTGAAATTTGTTCAGTATTGTAGATGAAAGTCAGTGTGAACATAGGAATCAGTATTGCATAGTGACTGTCAGTTTCATATCTCAACTTCAGACCTTATGTTACTATTCTTTTGATGAGAGATTTAGGGTAGTAGAGAAAGGAGGTATTTAAGGTATTATGTTATTTATAGACATGCCATTTAGTTTTCTTATTTTATTTATTTACTTGTTAGTTTAGCATTTAAAATTTATTATTTTATTTGTTTGTATATTTCACTTAATCATATATTTGATTTGTCTATTTTACTAATTTTTAATTTTACTAATTGAAATAAGCTTTATTTGGTCTAGGTTATGGAAGGTCATTTAGTTTTATTCAATCATGATATGATTATAAAAAGTTTTAAAGGAATTTGCTTTATGGGTATATTTGTAAATAAGCTGGTTTAAGATCAAAGGAATAGTTACATTATTTAGTGGTGTTGATCTAAGGTGGTGCTGTTTTTCTTATTTTTCTTGGTATTTTTGTTGTGTTTTGATTTTTGCTTTTCAGTTTCCATATATGTTTTGAGAGGGTAGTGCTATTTGCCCATTTTGTCAATCATTTTTAATGAAACTTGTGCATATATATATATATATATATATATATATATATATATATATATATATATATATATCAACAAGTTTCAGTAAGAACAACTGACAAAAGGTACTTTAGTTAAGTTTGTATTTTTATAATTTTCTTCATTTCTGTACATTAATTGTGTTACAAATTGTCCAAATGTTTTGTATATCTGAGCTTTTTTCAAGGTTATTGGCACGGGAGTAAATGTATTTCTAAAAATATATATATATATTATATATATATATATATATGCCCAAATCCACAATTAGAAATATATAAATATATCTATCCAGGAAAGTTAAGTAAGAATTTTTTTAGGCATTGATATGTGTTGAAACACAATCACAGTTGTGTAGTGATTTTCAACGTTTTTTGTTTTAATATATATCATAAATTAAATTTTATACACACACACACATGCATACACACACACATATATATATATATATATATATATATATATATATATATATATATATATATATATATATATATATATATATATATATATATATATATATGAGAGCACAAGAAAAATTAAATTAAAAATCAAAAACTTAACCGCAGTACCTTGTCAGTCACTTTTAATGAAACTTCTATAAAAAAGGGATTTCTGCCCAAATATACAATTAGAAATATATATATATATATATATGTGTGTGTGTGTGTGTGTGTGTGCGTGTGTGTGTGTGTGTGTGTGTGTGTGCAAATATATAGAAAGATAGGAAAGAACTGTTAGGTCAATAATCCAAAGTTCTTTAGTATTTTTGTTTTTATTTTTAAAAAACTGTGCTTAATACATAAGTAAATCCTAAATTACATTTTTAATAAATGATTATATTATATATATATATATATATATATATATATATACATAGAGATTTAAAAGATGTTGAGACAGAGAGTGAGGGAAAAAAAGGTTTATTTTATCTCTATTCTTAGATTTATTTCATGATCAAATAAATACAGCAGCATCTTGTTCAAAAAGCAAATAGTTCTTGATCATTGGTCACCTGCAGTGAAATGTAATCTGCTCATATTTCCACATCCCAGGAAAAAAAAAATTGTTCACATAGCCATTTATTCATGTGTGAACCTGATAATATTAACTTTCCAGCTTAAACTGCTATTTGCCAATGTGTTATAAGAGAATAACATTTCTAAGACATAATTACAGCGGATAATGTGATTTTGGGAAACGTAGTGTTAATAGACAACGTGTCAGATTGTCTAACAAGTATTTTAGTATTGTAATTGGCGTAAAATGCCAGAATAAATCACAATGAGCTAATGAGCTGTTTTATTTGAGGGAAGGACCACCTTTGCTTAGCAACCCAAAGAATAACATTTTGAGTCAGTCACTTTCAGATGGCATTAGCAAATAATGATTTATATTGAAACTATTCTAAGATATTGGCCACGCAATAACTGTTATGTCTTCTTGTCTTGATGTAGCCAACGACTCAACTGGTGTGCCTGGATGCACTAATGCACCCT